AACACAGGTATCTGAGAAGCACACTTTCAAAAAATGGGCAGAGCGAGAAAGATTTACAAAACAGTACAACAGACAACACATTACAGTCACGGCCAAACTTTAACAAAGCCTTATACAAAACCCCGCTATCGAACTAAAACATTTGTGACAATCATACAACCAACCATCCATCTGGAAAAGAAAATAAGTTATGCACATTTTTCTTCGGGGCAAAACTGTTAACAGGTGGTCCGTCTTTCCTCAGTTGTAGCAGTTAGTCTCACTGGCTTCACTGCAATGCACCGGAATGTGGCCAATGTCGCCACACCTGTAACTTTCACGGTATTACAACGTCTCTGGATGTGACCAAGCCCACCGCAGTAGCACTTCCGGTCGTTGGCATGCCCACAGTCATGAGCCATGTGTCCTTGGTCTCCACACCGATAACAGAACATTTCCTTGCCTCGTCCTCGACCCCTGCTGCCGCTGCCGCCACGACCACCATCAACGCCGCAGCCGCCACGACCACCATCAACGCCACCACTGCTACGACCACCATCAACGCCGCCACCACCATCAACGCCACCACGACCATCATCAACGCCGCCATGACCACCTTGACCACCTTGACCAGTGGGGCAATGCTTGGCCTTCTGGTTTCTAAACAACATAGTTTTGACCATAGCACGCGTGATCACGCAGGAGGACGTGACCTCTCGCACCACTGTAGAGCTCTCATCAAACCCAGACTCAATCAGACCACCAGTCTCAAAACATGCAGGGAGAACATCAGTCCAGACTCTGCTACCTGCCAAACCGTTGCCCAGAATGAAATGTATCCCCTCGATTGGCAAAGCTGGACGTACACCAACAGCTACTTCACCTTTAACAAGGTCACAGTCAATATACATCCTATGAACAGGAATAGGAAGAACTTTTAATCCCATCCCCCAACTCAGAACTGTGTCACCTGTGTCACTTTCAGGAGTCAAAAGCCCCTGTGTCCCGCAAGATTTTGATTGGAACTCTGACATTACTACCTACCAATGACACCAAGCCGTCTCGTATAAATGGAGCATAAGATGCCAAAACCTCAGATCCACATAAGTGGGATGTAAGCACATCGGCAACACAGCAGCCTCACAAACGTATTAAGATCCAAAGCTTTAGTGCGTTTTGATTCAATGCTGAGTACAGCAGTGGCGGCCGGCCCATAGGGGCGCCGCCCCCCCTCTTCCCACATTAAAAATAAAATAAATAAAAAAATATATATTTAAAAAATATATTTTTTATTTTTATTTTTATTTTTAATAAACAAGGTAAATATTATATAATTGGTATCAGTAAAATGTATAATCTACAATAAAATCTCGTTTAAAATTGTGTTACGATGTCTAAAGTTACTGATAAGTCACATCTTTCCTGCCTGGCCTTGCCCCTGTATCATTACCCTCTCTCGTCTGGGCGCTATGCACAGCGCCCAGACGAGAGTGCAGCAAGTGCAGCAGAAGCCAACTGTTGCTATCTTTAAACTATGCCGCCGAAACATAATTTCAGCCAATCAGCGTCGTCAAATCTGATGGTCACAGGGCTCCTACGTGAGCGCCCGGTGCAGTCTGTGAGTTGTTTGGACTCGTATCCAAGGAGACAAAACAGGAAGCTGTCATACACTCTGGAAGCTACCATTAGCAGCTAATGAAAACTCAGTTTTTGACATAAAAATTGAATTATGGATCATCAATCATTTTTCAAAGTGACAGACACATTGGATTAACCTATGGATTAACCTTCAGATGCGTTTTTCTCGTTTTTGATCAGAATTGTTATTCTGCAAAAGGTGAGCATTTCTCCGTGTTTTGTTACCTAAAGCTACATCGTGTGATGTCTGTATTTGCTTCCCCTGTCGCAAGTTCTGATCGCTCAGTGATGATACTTCTTGTAAGACGTGTGTTTTGTTTCGGTAAACATGGTTCATATCATCAGTTAGATGCGTTTCCTCTGAGTAGGACACATGAATAGTTTATTACATTTTAAGAAGCCCTGAGACACAGTTTCGTGAGAAAAAAAACGGGGGAAAAAAGCCCCTTAACAGGTTAAATGGGAATTAAATCAGTGTTCCCAAAGCCCCGGTGTTCTGCAGTTTGTGTGGGCCTACTGTACTGTTGCACAGTTTATGCTGTAGAAACTATGTCCAGGACAAGGTGTTTGGAAGTTTTGGAAGATTCATAGCTAACCACACTGAAGTTATGGAGGTATTGATCAGTCTTCTCATATTTTTAAGCCTCAAATTGTCCTTCCCCCCCCCCCTAATATCACCAGAAGTCATAATTTAAGGGGTCTTTTCTCAACAAAAATTACCAGGGGAGCATCCCCCCGGACCCGCCTAGTATTGTTTGATCACCATTTCCACAGCCCCACCTAAAATATTTTCCACCAGCCGCCACTGGAGTACAGCCAAACTTGACAGTCTCTTCTCTGTCATTGTAGACCGCAAATACCTAATTCCTTCCGTCTACTTGAGTCCGAATGCTTCTCGTTTTGCGCCGTCCCCCCCGTTCAAATGAAATCGCCGCCAATAATATTTCCAAGCTCGCGCCATGGAGGGGTTACAAGACTCGCGTCTTGTGCTGCATTCACTTGCACTCGGACATTAGAGATTTTCTCTCATAAATGTCCGATGAGCCACAACTTTTCTTTCAAAACAAAGATGCCAACTGGGGTGGCAGCTGGGGTGGCAAGGCTATTGTTTAGGGTGGCAGTTGCCACCCCGGTAGATCCGCCCCTGCTCAGGCAGTCTGCTGGCTATTGCGAGACTTCTGATCTCTCAGGCAGTCTGCTGGCTATTGCGAGACTTCTGATCTCTCAGGCAGTCTGCTGGCTATTGCGAGACTTCTTATCTCTCAGGCAGTCTGCTGGCTATTGCAGGACTTCTTATCTCTCAGGCAGTCTGCTGGCTATTGCGAGACTTCTTATCTCTCAGGCAGTCTGCTGGCTATTGCAGGACTTCTTATCTCTCAGGCAGTCTGCTGGCTATTGCAGGACTTCTTATCGCTCAGGCAGTCTGCTGGCTATTGCAAGACTTCTGATCGCTCAGGCAGTCTGCTGGCTATTGCATGGAGCAGGACTTCTGATCGCTCAGGCAGTCTGCTGGCTATTGCAAGACTTCTGATCGCTCAGGCAGTCTGCTGGCTATTGCAAGACTTCTGATCGCTCAGGCAGTCTGCTGGGATAACAGAGAGGCATAGCATGTGGTAAAACATGATCTTAGAAGGATGTGATACACCACCACCAGTTATATGCATAGCTTACCGTAGGAGTTTAAGAGTTTTTGATTAGCCAGTACGGTGCGGATATCAGGTCAGATAGGGCATGCGTGTGGTTACACGCATAAGGGCAGAATAAGCAATCATTATAAAACAGAGAATGAACAGGACAGGGATACAATTAGATGGAACCGTTCTGGAGAAGTGCTGATTAATGAATAATGTAATGCAATGAAGGTATTCTGCAGATGATTCAAACGTGAGCCGAGTGAGTGACTCATTGCTGTGAGAGACATACGCTGCAAGACTACATTGAGCATGAGTTGTTTATATTGCATCCATTCCTTATGCTTGATGGAAAAGTGTGCACTGAGACATTAGCTGAGGTCTGCTATTGAAGTACCAGATAGAGGGGATCGTATGATCATAAAAACAAGCACGGTTTGCACCACCACCAGTTATATGCATGAAAGTATGAAGGAGAACCTGTGCATTCTTTCTTTCTTTTATATTTATTCATTTTTTAAATATATAATTATTTTATCCGGACTGGCCCAACCCAAGGGGGTGCCGAGATACGAATCTGTTGAGACACGGAGGCGATCATGCCTAAACGTGCTGTGAACACGGATACACGTCACTTATCTGCTGGTTGAATTTCCTGGGAGGGATTGAATGCGGCGTAGAGGGCCTGCACGCGATCGGCTTGTGCGTAATGCGACTTCCGTGTTCACGGATCAGCTGATCGAGGGGCCTCGACTCCGTTCTGATGCTGGGTCGGCTTGTTCGCTTATGTCGAGACAGCCGGACGTACCCGTGTTTCTGCCGATGGAGGTCTTCTCCTCTCGCTCTTGCTTGATATCTACTACGAGGATCTGAAACGGGTATGTCGGCAGCATGAACACCTGAAATCACAGCTGACTGCAGGAGAGAGGAGAACCATTTTAAAGTTTGGCTGCAACACGGTGATTGGCTGCTGAGATTGAGGTGAAATGTAATAGGTTAAAAAGAAAGCCTGTGATGAGCTGATTATAAGCAGCTGCGGAGTGAATGTATATCAGTCTTCCTGAAAGAACTTGCGCTGAGCTTCATTTCAATCAGGCATATTATATGAAGTGCTTGTGTGGCTCGGGGGCCAATAGAAACATACTGTAATGGGGGCTGTGCAGGAACTACTAGCCAATAGATAAGTCTTCATGGTTTGAGACAGAAATGAGCAACCAGTGTTTCAACAGCACTTAAATAAATATATTTTCATGTGATTATTTCAAAGCTTACATCCCAGAATTCAATTATTTCATAACATGTGCAAAAAAGAAAAAGTTTTTTTTTTATAAAATTGAAGGTTGTGTATATATTTTTAAAGTGTAAAGGATAACAATTACGAGAAATATATATTCGTTTCTAATTTGAAATAATTTGTTTCGTGTGCAGATGGCTGGCCTGTGTTGGATATCTGTGCTGCTGGCATTCAGTCTGTCTATTGGAGACTGTGCGACGATGGATATAAGTTATGTTGAAAACATTTTCAAATCAATCCGGACCAAGTGAGTCAATTTGATTCTAGTAGTATCAAAAGTTCAGCCTTTCTTGATTCCTTGAAACATAATTATTAATGTGTGAATGCTTGTGTTTGGGATGCACACACCCTGTCAAATTAAGAGAAAGCTTAAGACTTTCCCTTTTATTAAAGCTTATATTTAGGGCTGGCTCTGTGACGTATGGATTCTTGGACCCCAAAGCAGAGACAGACACAAGTTAAGCTCAAGGTGTTTAATAAATAATAGGCCAAGGCAGGTACTGAAAACAGGGAGCTGGCTGGCTGCAGAAAGGTCCAAAAACAAAGCAGAGGGAAACATCCCAGGCTATACTCGAAAAGTAGCTCAAAAACTGCAAAGAAACAAAACAAAACTCAAGGCTGCAGAAAGGCACTCTGGATCGTGGAACAGCATTTAATTCTCTGGCAGAGAAGTGAGGTGAGGGCCAGGCTCTTAAAGAGCAGGTGATTATCTGAATGGGAACAGGTGTGCCTCATCTGCAGCCAGGAGAATACCAGCCACGCCCCCTGTCACACACCAGCCCTGCAGAGAAGGAGAGACAGAGTAGTGAGGGGTAAAAGGAGCAAAACAGGAAATCACACAACAAAAACCATGCATAAACATAACAGTACCCCTCCCTCAAAGGACGCCTCCTGGCGTCCTACCAGGCTTATCCGGGTACCGGGCATAAAAGTCTCTCAAGAGATCAGGGTCCAAAATGAGCGAGCGAGAAACCCATTGTCGCTCCTCTGGCCCATACCCCTCCCAATCCACTAGGTACTGGTAGCCACGGCCCCGCCTTCGAACTTTCAGCAACCGCCGTACAGTGAAGGCCGGGTGGTTGTCGATGAGCCGGGGGGGTGGAGGGGGTTCGGTCGGAGGGCAAAGAGGACTGCAGGAAACTCTTTTGAGGAGTGACACATGAAAAGTTGGGTGCACCTTCAAGGCAAGAGGCAACTTGAGCCTAACCACACTAGGATTGATGACACGTTCAATCTCATAAGGTCCAATGTACCTGGGAGTGAGTTTCCGAGACTCAGTTTGTAGAGGGAGGTCACGGGAGGAAAGCCAAACCTTCTGGCCCGGTTGGTAATCAGGAGCTGGTCGGCGGTGACGTTCCGCCAGCCTCTGGTTCCGGGCGGAGGTGCGGGTGAGAGCTGCCCGGGCTTCACGCCAGACTCTGCGGGCTCGCCGGAGATGCCCCTGCACCGAGGGAACCGCCACCTCTCTCTCTTGAACCGGAAAAAGGGGGGGTTGGAAGCCGTTGGAAGCCATAAAAGGTGACATACCTGTGGCAGAGCATACCAAGGAGTTGTGGGCGTACTCAACCCATGGTAGATGAAAAGACCATGAGGCCGGGTTTTGAGAGGCAACACAACGAAGAGCCGCTCCCAGGTCCTGATTTGCCCGCTCCGTCTGGCCATTGGTCTGGGGATGGTACCCAGAGGACAAGCTGGCCGACGCCCCCAATGCCTGGCAAAAAGCCCTCCATACTTGGGAGGAAAACTGCGGACCCCTGTCTGATACAATATCCTGAGGGATACCATGCAGCCTAAAATAATGCTGGGTGAGAAGAGTGGCAGTCTCAAGGGCAGAAGGTAGTTTAGGCAGGGGGACAAAGTGCACAGCCTTAGAAAAACGGTCAACGATGGTCAGAATAGTGTCGTTACCGTCTGATGGTGGGAGACCAGTCACAAAATCCACCGCAATGTGGGACCAGGGCCGGTGGGGAATGGGAAGGGGGCGAAGAAGACCAGCGGGGGCCTGATGTGAAGCTTTGCTGCGGGCACAGACGGAACAGGCTGAGACATACTCCTTTGTGTCTGCGGACATAGTGGGCCACCAGAAGCGTTGTTTAAGTAGGGCCAGGGTCCGAAGAAAACCTGGATGGCAGGCTACTTTGGACGCGTGTCCCCACAGGAGCACTGGAGATCTAGCATCGGGGGGAACAAACAGCCGGTCTGGTGGACAATCCTGAGCCGCTGGATGGTCCTCCTGGGCCTCCTGGACCACCCTTTCAATCTCCCATCTAGCAGCTCCCACGACACAGGAAGATGGCAAAATTGTTTCATCTGATGAATCCTCCACTGGGGGGGCGAACTGCCGGGACAAGGCGTCGGCCTTCACATTCCTGGAGCCAGGCCGGTAGGTCAAGGTAAAGTTGAACCGTCCCAGGAAGAGAGCCCACCGAGCCTGGCGCGAGTTGAGCCTGCGTGCAGAGCGAAGGTAAGACAAATTCTTATGGTCAGTCCATACTACAAAAGGATGGGTGGCTCCCTCCAGCCAGTGCCTCCATTCTTGAAGGGCCAGAACCACTGCCAGCAACTCCCGATTACCAACGTCGTAGTTCCTCTCAGCAGGGGTCAGCCGGCGAGAGAAGAACGCACAAGGGTGGAGCTTCTGGTCTGAGGGGGAACGCTGGGATAATACTGCCCCCACTCCAGAATCAGAGGCATCCACCTCCACCACAAACTGGATCCCTGGATCAGAATGAGAGAGAACAGGAGCAGTGGAAAACATACATTTCAGTTTTACAAAAGCTGCCTCAGCTGCAGGAGACCACACAAAAGGCAACTTGACAGAGGTTAGTTTAGTCAGAGGTACTGCTACCCTACTATAGTCCCGAATAAACCTCCTATAAAAGTTGGCAAAGCCCAGAAACCTTTGCAACTGCTTCCTGTTAGAGGGAGTGGGCCACTCGGTCACTGCTTGGACCTTGGCGGGGTCAGTCCTTAATTGTCCTTTGTCGACGATAAAACCCAGGAAACTCACAGAAGAGGCATGAAACTCGCACTTCTCAACCTTAACATACAGTCTGTTCTCAAGAAGTCTCTGTAGTACCAGCCTTACATGCTGGACATGCTCCTGAGGAGTGCGAGAGAAGATCAGGATGTCATCAAGGTACACAAAAACAAACCTGTTTAACATGTCACGCAAGACATCATTAATCATAGCTTGGAAAACACCTGGTGCATTCGTTAACCCAAAAGGCATTACCAAATACTCAAAATGTCCCAGAGGAGTATTGAATGCAGTCTTCCACTCATCCCCCTCCTTTATTCTCACCAAGTGGTATGCATTGCGAAGATCCAACTTAGTGAAGATTGTGGCTTCATGGAGGGGGACAAAAGCAGAGTCAATGAGTGGAAGGGGGTACTTGTTCTTGACTGTGATCCCATTTAGACCTCTGTAGTCTATGCAAGGGCGTAGGGTCTTATCCTTCTTGTCCACAAAAAAGAAACCTGCACCCATAGGAGATGAAGAGGGGCGAATGAGCCCAGCAGCGAGTGAGTCAGAGATGTAACTCTCCATGGCCTCCCTTTCTGGCCTGGAGAGATTGTACAGTTTACTAGATGGAAAGGGGGTGCCAGGGAGCAAATCTATGGCACAGTCGTAGGGCCGGTGAGGTGGCAAGGATAGTGCGTGGTCCTTGCTGAAAACCTCCTTGACGTTGTGATATTCAGGGGGTACAGAGGTGAGATCAATGGGTTTGGGGGAATCTGGTGCCCTAGTAACTGTGGGGGGTACAGCAGAGTGTAAGCAATGTGAGTGACAGAATATACTCCAGTTAACAATAGACGAGTTGGCCCAATCTATATGAGGGTTATGGAGCTTTAACCACGGAAAACCTAAAACGAGTGGCGACATGGGTGAGGGGATAAGGTACAGGGAGATAATCTCGTGATGGTTACCAGAGAGCTTGAGGGAAACTGGAGCAGTACGGTGGGTGACTTGGGCTAGGAGTCTCCCGTCTAAGGCAAACACATCTTTAGGTTCAGGAAGAGGCTCAAAGGGGAGCTTAGACTGCATCACAAAGTCAGAGTCAATGAAATTGTCATCCGCACCAGAATCTATCAAGACCTGAAGCGGAAAAGAGGCCTGAGACCAAGAAATAGTACCTTTGACTGGGATGCGGTTGGAGGAGGCTGAGTTGATAGAGGTATGGCTCATCAGTACTCCCCCTGTTGCTGATGAGCCAGGTCTTTTGGCTGAGTAGGACAACCGGCGCGGAAGTGCCCAGCCTGGCCACAGTAGAAGCAGAGTCTCTGATGAAGACGGCGTTGACGTTCTGATTGGGTAAGCGTCATCCTTCCCAACTGCATGGGCTCCTCCATGCGGAAGGGAGAGGCCTTGGTAGCAGGCGAAGCACTGGAAGGCCAGGAGTCTGGAGGATGAAGAGAAGGTCCAGGGAACGCAGGCTGTCTAGAAAACTTGGACTGAGGGGGAAGGGAGGTGGAGCTATGCTTTCCTGATCTCTCCCTACGCCTCTCGCGGAGGCGGTTATCTAATCGTGTCGCTAAAGAAATCAACTCCTCTAAGGAGGAAGTTTCATCCCTGGCAGCTAGTTCATCCTTTAAATCATCATTTAGCCCCTTACAAAAAATTCCCAGCAAGGCCATGTCATCCCAACCGCTCTCAGCTGCAAGAATGCGGAAATCAATAGCAAAATTAGCAACAGAGCCTGAACCCTGGTGGAGTGAAAGGAGTCTTTTACCAGCCTCCTTCCCCCTCACTGGATGATCAAAAACCTTACGCATCTCTGCAGTAAAAGACGGCAGAGACTGACTGATAGGCGAGTTGCTGTTAGATATGGCAAGGGCCCATGCTGCTGCTTTATCACTCAGTAGGCTCATAATAAAAGCAACCCTAGATCTATCAGTGGAATAAGTGAATGGTTGTTGCTCAAACACAAGACTACATTGGTGCAAGAACTGACTACAAGACCCTAAATCTCCTGAATACCTGACGGGAGTGGGGATAAAGGGCTCACGAGGATTGCAGGGCTGTCGTTCCGGATCAGCTTGAGGTGGAGGAGCAGGATCTGGAGCTTGAGCATTGGCAGTCAGCGGGCGCGTGGAGAGATGTGCTGCGACCTGATCCATACGGCCTCCGAGGTTGGTCACACCGGAGGTTAATTCCTGAATCGCTTCCATTACCTTCTGCAGGGCTCTGTCATGATGCCCTATAATTACACCTTGGGCAGCAAGCGCTTCCCTGAGTCTCTCATTCTCTGCGGGGTCCATTTGGCCAGAGAATTCTGTGACGTATGGATTCTTGGACCCCAAAGCAGAGACAGACACAAGTTAAGCTCAAGGTGTTTAATAAATAATAGGCCAAGGCAGGTACTGAAAACAGGGAGCTGGCTGGCTGCAGAAAGGTCCAAAAACAAAGCAGAGGGAAACATCCCAGGCTATACTCGAAAAGTAGCTCAAAAACTGCAAAGAAACAAAACAAAACTCAAGGCTGCAGAAAGGCACTCTGGATCGTTGAACAGCATTTAATTCTCTGGCAGAGAAGTGAGGTGAGGGCCAGGCTCTTAAAGAGCAGGTGATTATCTGAATGGGAACAGGTGTGCCTCATCTGCAGCCAGGAGAATACCAGCCACGCCCCCTGTCACACACCAGCCCTGCAGAGAAGGAGAGACAGAGTAGTGAGGGGTAAAAGGAGCAAAACAGGAAATCACACAACAAAAACCATGCATAAACATAACAGGCTCAAGCTTGCATTTACATCCTCCTGGATCCTTCATTTTGTTGTATTATAATGCATTTTATTTTATTATATATATGTCCACGTTACAATTGTTGTCATTTGGATTGTCCATGTCTACTTTTATAAATGTCCTGTATGTTTGATGATGTGTACACGCTGTACCCTGAGACAAACGTTTAACTTTTTATTTTGAGATGTATTTGTTCTGATTTGAATGCAGCTGTACATTTGTCACAAAAGGTATCACAAAAATCAATCAAATCTTCAAAATGAACACTGAAATCTGCTTTAATAGTAATTAATAGTTTTGCGGGATACTGAATATAGTTACATGTTTGCTTATTGTTTGTTTATGGATACTTACATTATACTCTGACTAAGGGTAATTCTGTGTGTCTGTTTTCTTTGACAGCTAGCTAATCACAAACAGCAGTTCAGTGTGGCTGTAAACATCCCGGAGGACCAGGAGCAACTGGCTCAGGCTTTTGCTGATATCGATACGGACACAATGAGACAAGTGGTTTCACGTGGTGGTGTGGATGCTAATAATGCTAACGTCAATCGTCAAAGTAAATGTTTTAATGTTAAAAGTCCATGTAGTAGCTGTAAATCAAACTACTACTTAGCTAAAACAGGGCATTGTGTTTATGGGATGGTAGTACTGCCTCACAGTAAGTGAGGGTCGCAGTTTTTATCCCACCATCTGCCACATTCATGCGTGGGGTTTTCTCTGGGTGCTCCAGTTTCTTCCCATTCATTTTTTTATAAAGATATTATCATGATTATTTTCTGTTATGCTTTTCTTATGATTAACTGTCACGAATGCTGCTAGAACATTAGTTTCCTCACACGGCTGTCTTTGTTTCTGCTGGAGATCAGGTGAGGTACCAACATTGAGTTGTAGGTCTTTTATTCAAACATCAATTAGATCATTGTATTGTGTTTGCGAAGGAAGATATTCCCATTAATATAACTTTGCAAATTGTCTCTGCAAACTGTAAAATATTAGAATTGTAAGTTCAAATATGAACTGAACTAACTCTTTTAACTGTTAGAGCTCCACTGCTCTTCTCTTGTTTCACCTCACAGCTCAGGTGTAGAAGAGAGTAGCCTCACATGCACGCACTTCTGTATTTCTGCATCTCCATTCTCAATCTGCAAGTCAGAGTGAACACGTTCATTTGGCTTCTCCATTTCTTCAGACATCTCCATTTCTTCAGAAATCACCCTCCTCAATCTGCAAGTCACAATGAACACTTTGTTTACATAGAAAACAGACAGCTTTTTTTAAGGTTAAGAAAATTGTAAACAAATAAACAAAAATGGCCCACAGAGGGGACATGTACATTCTGCATCTGACCCCTTGAATCGGTTCCCAAGCCAAGTCCCTACGGACTTCGCCACTAACCCCCTGAGAGAATAGATAAGGAAATGTATAGTCTAAGAAAATACTCAAAAGTTACACACTTGTTTAAAAAAAAGACAAATAGGATAAACCGTTCAGAATGCATATGTGCTTTTAATCAAAGTTAATTAACTTTGCCGTTAATAATAATGTTTTTAACTTTTAAAGGTCCCATGTCATGGCCATTTCTACTGATCATAATTCCATTGTTGAGGTCTACTAAAATAGATTTATATTGTGCAATGTTCCAAACTCACATTGGTTTCTCATACAGCATCTCTGTATAGTATGTGTATTCACTCTCTGTCCTAAACGGCTTGTTGGAGCTCCTGCCCCCCCGCCTCTCTGTGAGCCCAGTGGCCGTCTGCGAGACAGCGAGACACAGCGAAACTAGCCCGAACACACACACACACCCGCAGGCTGGCTGGGAGTTTGTGTGTGTGCTCACACACCGACTCACAGCCTCGCCACGTCCCGCCGTCTCAGGGAGGAGAAATCGGCGGAGCTGCAGCTGAGAAAAGATTGAGTGTGTGTGTGTGTGAGGAAGTCTGCGGATTGGCCCATTTGGAACAATCCACGGACTTAACCTAACGGCTCCGCGAACGTAACGTAACGGCTCCACGGATTAGTCCATTTGGACCAATGGGCCCATTTGGGTATGGTCACGTCACTGTACCCAGGAAGAAAAAGAGAAATCTCCAACGAGGCGTTCTGGGGCAGCATAGACAGGTCTTTTCTGTGTTAGAGTTTTACTCGCTACAGGGTGTACTTTGAGGGTTTGTGACTCTGCAGACCGTTTACATGCAGAAAGACCTTCATAACACACAAGGGGACGGGTAATAACTGGAAAAGCATGACATGGGACCTTTAAATGGGTATCACATATAAATATTTTGGGTAATTAATTGATTGCTAATTTCTACAATACACCCATAATCGTCTGTTATTACACCGATATTACACATTAATAAACCGTTATTGCACCCATCTTACACCATTATTACTCCCTAATTAATAATACGGTTGTAATAATGGTTTATCCTGGATGTAATTACGGAGTAATATTGGTGTAAGATGGGTGTTATAACGGTGAAATATGTAACACTGTTATTACACCCATATAACACCAATATGACATCCAGTTGACACATGGAGACACCCTGTCAAATGACTGTGTCCCCCAGGAAACAAACCATTCAAGGGTTAAGAGAATTAATCCTCATGATTTTCATAATCTCTTCTCTAGCATCATCACGGTCCCTACAAATGACATATCAGTGTCTGCTGGAAAAGGGATGGAATACAAGTTGTAAACACATCCATCAGGTGTAGACAACCAGGGGGCAAAGTGCTCTAACACAAAACCAGGGGGAAGGCACACATAGGTGACCAGTTCAGTTTTATAAATTGGGGGCTGAAGGTATAAACACATTCTTGGCACTGCTAGAAGAAACAAGCCACATACATACTCATTATATTACTCATACATTACCAATGTATTATCATGTGGGGTTTGGACACAGGCCAAAATGTAATCAATTCCTTTTGACTGGGACATTGGGATAATCTCTTATCAGATAACTATATTTATTTACATGTCACTTGTTAGAGGCTTTTATCCAAAGCGACTTACATACATTAAGTAGAATAATGTGAGCAATCCCCACAGGAAGAATTTGGGGTGAACGAGTGGGGATTGAACCATGCTCCCCTGAACGAACTGAGCCACAGCCTCCCTTAGATAACACACCTGTCTTATTAAATAATGAATTAATGAATTCATTGAAGTTGTTCTTTAACACTAAACTCAAAACGTTTCTGTTAATGTTTGTTAATATGTGATATGTCATGTGTTTTCACCTTTATTTGTCTTTCTTTAGAAATGTCTGCTGTTACTTGCTGTTTCATTGTTTACAGAGAGAAACTTCTGTAAAATCTTAATCTTTGAAATACAGAAGAACTATGAGGTAAGTCACTTTAAGGTTTACGTTGACGCCATCTCACGCCTCTCTTTAAACATGTTCCTACACCCTGACTCTATTCACTGCAGCAAGTTAGCTACACCATAAATGAACAATTACAAATGTGTTAAATGTATGAAATGTGTTGATTATCAATGTTTTCCTCCAATAGGCTCTGATGAAGCCACTGTGCGCTACCAGCTCAACACCCAACAGCTGATGGACACAGAGAGTAGAGAAGTAACTCCATTTATGATTTATGAATCTTTCACTGAAAGTTGTGATATGGGGTCTGTTGCTACGACGAATAGAGAGAGCAACACAAATATATATTAATAAAGTAATAAGGTAATATCATCATATCATGTTTTTTAATAAAAAAAAGAGAAAGCAATGGCTTTTAGAAAAGTGAACTTACTCTCATCGGAAACACACTGCAAGAGCATAAGAGGAAAGAGAAGAGAAGAATTAAAAAGCTGCAGTTCTGGTAGATGGTACTGATTATAGTAGGGCTGTGCGATTATGGCAAAAATCATAATCACGATTATTTGGGTCAATAATTGATATCACGATTATTAAATACGATTATTCATTGACTTTGAAAACATCCAATACAAAAATAAAATAAATGATACATTTAATAAATAATATCAAAATAATAAATACCAATAAACAAGATCAACAAATATTTTGGAGCGCACTTCCACAAGTTACTAAACATATATAAATATGATAAATACAAATAAATGAGACCAAAATTAATTAGATCAAATATGTTGCACTGTCACAACCAAGCAAAGCAAAATAATTGTTTTTTTCGATTATGTTGTTTTCGTAATTGTGGCAGGCCAAAATCGTAATTGCGATTAAAATACGATTAATTGCACAGCCCTAGATTATATTATTATAAATAAATATGCTTTGCACATTGCAGAGGACATTTAACAGATCAAAAGGGAACTGAGAACTTTTGAATGAGAGCCGCTTGTCTGAGCAACACGTCTGAAAGAGATCTGGTGCTGCTACTGCAGGGTCTCTCTCGCTGTGGTCAGCACGTTGTTGATGATAGTTAGGAACAACGTGATTTTGTGAAGTTAGTGTGAATCGCATCATTTTGTGTGGGATCCTGGTCTTTCACTTGAAGTCTCCCTGAAAGGAACTCACTTTCTCTTGTTCCTACAGTTAAGATCAATTGAACACAAAGAGGTGGAGCTGAAGTTTCAAGGTGTGGCCATGGTCGCCCTCTCCTCCTATAAAGGATGTTAGTTCAGACCGTCTTCCCCACAGCAGCTTACTCCTCACACTCAGAGCCAAGAAGAAGAAGAAGAAGAAGAAGCTTTGGAGCATCCATCAGACATCTCTCTCCGACAGACAGGTAAAAGAAACAAGGGAGAAGCACTAGAAAAACTTGTACTTTACTCGAGTATTCTTAGTCTATGCTACTTTATACTTCTAGTCCACTACATTTTAGAAGCCAATATTGTACTTTTTACTACATTTATTTGACAGCTCTTGTTTTTGGTTACTTACAAACATATGTTTTGAAAGAGAGGACATTGTAGGAAAACAAATTAAATTCAATGTCACATTTATTTATAGAGCTGATGAACAATGTGAGTCAGGCAGCAATATGATGTTCTCTCTAAATTAATGTTATTAAAAACACCATAAATCACAATTTAGGGCGACAGGGTTACATGCCTTGCATGACCCTAAATATCGTCAGATATATTACACAGTGATCGTGCCAATTCAAAATGATTCTGCATGATATTCCTCCTCAGTTAAAAAAAAGTTTAATGTCAATAGGGTTAAAACATAAAAGACTATTATTACTGTAATTTCCACATAAAGCCATTATTCTGTTTTTGTCTTTTCTGTTGCAGGTATTGTTCAGACTGACAGACAAAAATGAAGGTGAGGAATGTGTGGCTCTGATAGTTATTAGTTATTATTGTTTCATCTCTAGATAAATAATGTTTAATGTTGTTAGCTGTTTCTGTGGATTTATGATTGTTAATAATTAAGGTTCAGATAGAAGTGAAGTGCATTGTTACAGCAAGCAGCAGACAGGCTCGGTGTTATCACTAACCCAACTGACTGAGTCCAAGATCTTTATCTGTTGCAGGTAAACAATTACAAAACAAAAAGAGGGCATAATCAATAATTACATTTAGTGAAAGTCCTACTTGCATAAAACCACTGTTTAAAAAGCACTTCAGTTTATTTATCTTAACATCCCCGATCGAAGCATTGTTATTCCATAACAGGAGCTATAGAGTGTCATTTTTATTCAATGGAAGATTTTGTATATTTAAAAAGTATTAAGGATAATAATTAAGAGACAGATGTGTTTCTTTTTCACTTGTCCTCTCTCATGTTTGAAACTCTGTCAATGACTTGATTTGTGTGCAGATGGCTGGCCTGTGTTGGATATCTGTGCTGCTGGCAGTCAGTCTGTCTATTGGAGACTGTGAGCCGTTGGATATCGGTTACGTAAAGAGAATTGCTGAACTCATCCAGAACAAGTGAGTCAATTTGATTCTAATAGTACAATAGTATTGATGTACTTCATTGATGGAGGTATTGGATATAGTTCACAAAAGTCTTTAAAATGAACACTGAACGTTGTTTAAAAATAGCATTACATGTATTAATGGGATATTGAATATCTGGCCATGTTTTTGCTGCACGTTAAAGAAGCAGTAAAAGTATGACCCTGATGTAAGAGTAGTTTCTAAATGTAGATGGAGAAAAGTGTTTCCTCAACAAATAGGATTCAGTCTGATTATATTCACACAGTCACTGCATCCAGAGGAATAATCAAAATCATGATGATTTTGACCTTTAGTCTAGCATCACCTTTATGATGATTTGTGATTTTAGAAGTGAAATGTCTCGACAACTTCCTGTTACACTAAGGACTTTTTCAACAGCCTCAGTTTTAGTTCATGTTAGGTGCTCATTAGTAAATATTATAATGCTATCACCATAAAACATTACCATTAACAGCAATATTAAGCCCATTAATGGTAGCATTTCTCTGAAATGATTGCAGTGTGTAAGAACAATCTCAAAGAGCCCGGAGCATGGCTGTAGACTCTCTGTGTTGTTTTGGTCCTCTGACATTTAAATAAAGTCTCCACTATCTTTAGTTTTACATCTGTTTGGCTGGTTAAGATCTTAAGTGAAAATCACTAAATCAAATGTGCATCAGTAACGTTGTTTGATCTGAAAGTAATGTCACCTGATTCACACCATTACTTATTGATTACCTAAATATCAAATGGACTATCAGGAAGATGTTCTTTTACTAAGGTGTTTTGTGTAAGACAGCAGAACAATGTGACCTTAGGAAAGAAGGAACCAAGATATTAGGGATCAAAAATGTCTCCTCTACTTTTTCATGTCTCTTCTACATCAACATGTGTCCCCTCTTCTTCATGTCTCTTCTACATCAACATGTGTCCTCTCTTCTTCATGTCTCTTCTACATCAACATGTGTCCTCTCTTCTTCATGTCTCTTCTACATCAACATGTGTCCCCTCTTCTTCACGTCTCTTTTACATCAACATGTGTCCCCTCTTCTTCATGTCTCTTCTACATCAACATGTGTCCCCTCTTCTTCATGTCTCTTCTACATCAACATGTGTCCCCTCTTCTTCATGTCTCTTCTACATCAACATGTGTCCCCTCTTCTTCATGTCTCTTCTACATCAACATGTGTCCCCTCTTCTTCATGTCTCTTCTACATCAACATGTGTTCCCTCTTCTTCATGTCTCTTCTACATCAACATGTGTCCCCTCTTCTTCATGTCTCTTCTACATCAACATGTGTCCCCTCTTCTTCATGTCTCTTCTACATCAACATGTGTTCCCTCTTCTTCATGTCTCTTCTACATCAACATGTGTCCCCTCTTCTTCATGTCTCTTCTTCATCAACATGTGTCCCCTCTTCTTCATGTCTCTTCTTCATCAACATGTGTCCCCTCTTCTTCATGTCTCTTCTACATCAACATGTGTCCCCTCTTCTTCATGTCTCTTCTTCATCAACATGTGTCCCCTCTTCTTCATGTCTCTTCTACATCAACATGTGTCCCCTCTTCTTCATGTCTCTTCTACATCAACATGTGTCCCCTCTTCTTCATGTCTCTTCTACATCAACATGTGTCCCCTCTTCTTCATGTCTCTTCTACATCAACATGTGTCCCCTCTTCTTCATGTCTCTTCTACATCAACATGTGTCCCCTCTTCTTCATGTCTCTTCTACATCAACATGTGTCCCCTCTTCTTCATGTCTCTTCTTACATCAACATGTGTCCCCTCTTCATGTCTCTTCTTCATCAACATGTGTCCCCTCTTCTTCATGTCTCTTCTTCATCAACATGTGTCCCCTCTTCTTCATGTCTCTTCTACATCAACATGTGTCCCCTCTTCTTCATGTCTCTTCTTCATCAACATGTGTCCCCTCTTCTTCATGTCTCTTCTACATCAACATGTGTCCCCCTCTTCTTCATGTCTCTTCTACATCAACATGTGTCCCCTCTTCTTCATGTCTCTTCTACATCAACATGTGTCCCCCTCTTCTTTCATGTCTCTTCTACATCAACATGTGTCCCCTCTTCTTCATGTCTCTTCTACATCAACATGTGTCCCCTCTTCTTCATGTCTCTTCTACATCAACATGTGTCCCCTCTTCTTCATGTCATCTTCTACATCAACATGTGTTCCCCTCTTCTTCATGTCTCTTCTACATCAACATGTGTCCCCTCTTCTTCATGTCTCTTCTACATCAACATGTGTCCCCCTCTTCTCATGTCTCTTCTACATCAACATGTGTCCCTCTTCTCCATGTCTCTTCTACATCAACATGTGTCCCCTCTTCTTCATGTCTCTTCTACATTCAACATGTGTCCCCTCTTCTTCATGTCTCTTCTACATCAACATGTGTCCCCTCTTCTTCATGTCTCTTCTACATCAAACATGTGTCCCCTCTTTCTTCATGTCTCTTCTACATCAACATGTGTCCCCTCTTCTTCATGTCTCTTCTACATCAACATGTGTCCCCTTCTTCTTCATGTCTCTTCTACATCAACATGTGTCCCCTCTTCTTCATGTCTCTTCTACTCAACATGTGTCCCTCTTCTTCATGTCTCTTCTTCATCAACATGTGTCCCCCTCTTCTTCATGTCTCTTCTTACATCAACATGTGTCCCCTCTTCTTCATGTCTCTTCTTCATCAACATGTGTCCCCTCTTCTTCATGTCTCTTCTACATCAACATGTGTCCCCTCTTCTTCATGTCTCTTCTACATCAACATGTGTCCCCTCTTCTTCATGTCTCTTCTACATCAACATGTGTCCCCTCTTCTTCATGTCTCTTCTACATCAACATGTGTCCCCTCTTCTTCATGTCTCTTCTACATCAACATGTGTCCCCTCTTCTTTCATGTCTCTTCTACATCAACATGTGTCCCCTCTTCTTCATGTCTCTTCTACATCAACATGTGTCCCCTCTTCTTCATGTCTCTTCTACATCAACATGTGTCCCCGGCTTCTTCATGTCTCTTCTACATCAACATGTGTCCCCTCTTCTTCATGTCTCTTCTACATCAACATGTGTCCCCTCTTCTCCATGTCTCTTCTACATCAACATGTGTCCCCTCTTCTTCATGTCTCTTCTACATCAACATGTGTCCCCTCTTCTTCATGTCTCTTCTACATCAACATGTGTCCCCTCTTCTTCATGTCTCTTCTACATCAACATGTGTCCCCCTCTTCTTCATGTCTCTTCTACATCAACATGTGTCCCCTCTTCTTCATGTCTCTTCTACATCAACATGTGTCCCCTCTTCTTCATGTCTCTTCTACATCAACATGTGTCCCCTCTTCTTCATGTCTCTTCTACATCAACATGTGTCCCCTCTGTGTAAAGAGACTCTGAAAGTTTCAATGATCTGTTTGGTATTTGGAGCCAAACACTTCAGAGACATGTTTTGTGTATATCTGAGACCTGTAATATATTGATGAAAAACAGTATAATATGGGACCTTTAAGCATACAGTATTCAAGCAGTAGCCTATACACCAACAAAGAAACACATGAGCACATACATTTAAAAATGTATGTTGCAGCATGTATACTTACCATTGTGTATGAATACTTGTACTCTGACAAAAGGTAATACTGTGTGTCTGTTTTCTTTGACAGCTTCCTAATCAATGACCGGCATTTCAGTGTGGCTGTAAACATCCCGGAGGACCAGAACCTATTGGCTAAGGCTTTTGATAAGATCAATTTGGACGATGTGAAAAAAGATCTTGATGAAGGCAAGGTGTACATAGGCAGCAATGCTGTTGTGGCAGTTCCTCAGAAGAAAGACACCTACACTGACCATGCAGAGGCACAGGTACTGGACAATTTAGGAAACTTAGCTAACACACATGAGGGTAACATTCTGGTCCTCTACTCCTGGCTTTCTCCATGTGGTGACAAGTGTACAAACATTAACAACAGGAACAATATCTTAAAAAAGATCGAAGAAAAGGTAAAGCCAAAATGGGAAAGCTATGCCTTTGTGTTTCATACAGTATTTGACCTAAAAGGTGAAGTTTCCATAAGCAACATTCAAGGGACCCTTCTTAATCTTAGAGGAGTGATGGTTGACGACAACATTTTCCGTTGTTACAAGCCAAATAATAGAGTATTCCAATGTTTCAAGTGCTTCAAAGATGCTCCACCAGGTGGTGGTCCTGTGGATGAGTGTGTTAGAAATTAGGAATGAATGTGTGTAGGCCAAAAGAAGAGCTGACCTAGGCATTGACACAACTGGATCCTACTAAAATGTTACTTTGAGAAGTTCATTAATGCTCAACAATGCACTTGCTGCTTTAAATGGCTAGATGTTACACCGGCACGCTAAGGACCCAAACACACTCATCTTTGGTCACAAACTAATCAGCAGAGCTTTCATCCATTTCTTGCAACATAACTCTGAGGTTTATTTAATGTTTAGCATAAGATTGACTTATTTTGGTGTTGTTCTATGTTCATGTTGTGATGTATCTTCTGTACTTACTGCAGTTTGACTCAGTGTTGGTTTGAGAGGCATTTTTTGTTCTATCCAAATAACAAAACAAAAAAAGCCAACATGCATGTTGAAAAAGCGTTCAAAAATATATACTACCCAATTTCAAAAAGCCAAAGAAATGTTTTTAAATGATATTGTTTATTGTATATCAACCTCAGTTATAGAAGTGATTGTACTCAATACTTATGTTAAACTTTACCAAATGATTTCTGCTTTTTCTGATTAAAGCTTTGCTAAGCATTCTCACTCTGTGTGTCAATCATCTGGAAACTCATAACAAAAGGATGAGGAACTACTAGCCAATAGATACGTCTTTATGGTTCAAGACAGAAATTAGCAACCAGTGTTTCAACAGCACTTAAATAAATATATTGTCATGTGATTATTTCAAAGCTTACATCCCAGAATTAAACATTTTCATAACATGTGCAAAATTGTAAAGGTTTTTTATAAAATGAAAGGTTGTGTATATATTTCTTTAAAGTGTAAAGAATACAAATTACGAGAAATATATATTAGTTTCTAATTTGAAATAATTTGTTTTGTGTGCAGATGGCTGGCCATTATGGTCAATGTATGTAAATAATATGTAAAAAGAGTACTTTTACTTTTGGTACTTTAAGTATACGTTGATGCCAATAATATTATATTTTTAGTTGAGTAACATTTTGAATACAGGGATTTTAATTGTAACAGAGTATTCCTGAACTGTGGTATTTCTACTTTAACTTAAGTACAAGATCTGAGTGCTTCTTCCAGCTCTGCAGTTCAAGCCTTAAAACTCAATTGTCACGGGAGTAGCGACACTGGGCCAAAGGACCACCAAGCGGAGACTTCATCTCAAAAGGGGGACCACAGAAGTTGTTAAAAACATTTGTTTACATTACTGAGAGTGAAATGTAGTGTAACTCTAAATGAAATGAAACAGAGACTGACTGATGGCCACCAGCTTACAGTATACGTATGCATGTAAAAGTCAGCTGATCTGAGGCCTGTTCAGAGAAGGCTGTCACAGATGTCTCAGATGATTCAGCAGAATGTAAGACTTCATTGTCATGTCAAGTCTGACATTTTTCTTTTTCTTGCAACTTGTTCAAGAGCCTCTAACAAATTTGATCTGGGTTTAACTCTGTATTTAATTTTAGTATTGACTGGTGCCAAAGGAGTGCTTCAGTCTAACTTTATTAAATATGAACTTACTCTAAACACACTGCAAGAGAATACTAAACAAAGCTGTTCTGGTAGTTGGTACTGTATTACATTTTAAACAATACACCCTTTCGTCTCAGTATGCCTATAGCAACTTAAAACCTGCAGAAATATAGCAACTGCTTTCAGTATTTTTTTAGCTCAGTTTTACTCAAACATGTTTAGATGTTGCCAAACTCCGACCAGAATACCCCAAAGACAAAGTTAAGAAATCCATGCATTCATTCATTCATGGATTTGTTTAAGGGTAACAGACAGCACCTGCCCTGACTGATAGCATATTGGAAAACCAAGGTTCTTATCCCCTTTTGCTCTGCAGATCATTACAGCGCTCTTATATATAAACACATACACTGCTATAACTCTCAAAGTGCATTTACATTTAAGTAGTTCTCAATGCTTTCTATTTGAACAATTCAACTTGGATAAAAGACTCAAATTCACTTAAACAGAATGATGCTTTTTACTTTCTTATTACTTAACGCTGAGTTAGAAAAGAACCTTTGCTAGTAGTTGTCTCACTGTATATGTGATTATCTTTAAAATGTGTATATAAATGAGTCTGATGCAGATATTGATGTCCTACCTTTGATTAAATGCAGGGGGGAGGTATGTGATGATTTCTGAAGTGAATGCATTATAAGTACTTCTGAATAACTTCTAAAGCAAATGGATCAGGACTAAAAAGAGTCTTCCTGTTCTCTAACATGAATTGTGTTTTGTGTATTGATTAAGAATGAGGATCCCACCAACCTCCAGGATACATCTTCTCTCTATACTCGACAGGTTTGAATACCCAGTGATACACAGTTATGTATTTCTCTGTGTAAAGGGATCGTTTCCTTTTGTTTCAAGTTCAGTGACTAAAATAAAGAAGTTTGTGCTAAATGAACCTCAAGACACTCGGTCACTCTGGTCCGTCACATAACAACTATCTCCACACAGTTTAGAGCCTGCAGGTCAGACTGTATAATGCATTTAAAAGATAACATTGAGCTTACACTCTTTTTCATTTTTGCATGAATGCATTTGAATGCCTTTTGACTTTGTAGATACAGACATGGTGCCATACTGAAGGTTGGCTTATCTCCCAAAGTCTAACTGCACAGCTTCAGACATATCTTAAGGTACCTCATCTCAACTCTTGGCTCTGCCTCACACATCAGAAACTACTTTGGTTATCACAAAGTGGATATGAGGTTTGTAATGCAGATGCTGCCATTACACAGGAGAAGGTCAGGGTGACAAGGTCAGAGGCATCCTAAACTCTATATCTACATAAACTGCCATGACTATTACATTGAGACCTTTTATCCCAAAATAACACAAGTTACTTTGGATACAAATATTCTTAATTCTTACTTAATTGTTTTATTTTGAACTGCCATACTTTTGATGAAAAACACATTTGTTTCTTATTTACTACTACACAACAATGTGTTAGAGGAAGATGTGTCTAAGGACTAGGGACGGGTACCGAGCTCCGGCATTAAAGGGGCCCCTGAATTATTAAATACAGCGTTTAAGCTCCAACGTTATCTTCTTCTTTTTATCGGTACTGGAGACATTTAAAAAAATGTATGTCATATGTATTATTGCTACATAAAGATTATATTGTAGTTTTAGTGTCGGCAACTCCGTTTGTAAAAAAAAAAGACAAAAAAATGCGTCTCTGATGTATTTTCAATCTTCCCAATCCAGACCAGAGATATCTCCCCCATCTCTCACACACACACACACACACACACACACACACACACACACACACACACACACACACACACACACACACACACACACACACACACACACACACACACACACACACACACACACACACACACACACACACACACACACACACACACACACACACACACACACACACACACACACACACACACACACACGACTGTCTCTCTAGTAGCTCTGTAGCCCCATCCACGTAGTAACGTTTCCACGTCAGGTGTTATGTATGCTAGCAGCAACACACGGAGCTAACTCAATGATACAAACATGGGTTAATGATTAGAGGGAACTGAGTTATTTATTTTGTTAAGGTTTCAGCTATTCTGTTCACAGTTCTGTCATCAGATTATTTAATACGGTTTGTTTAAAACATTGTTGTTTCTTTTGATGTGAAATATTATTTATTATTTAAATAAAAAGCTATGTATATTTTGTTTACATTTTGTTTAGTTAGTTTACCTTTTTTTTTCTTTTTCAGAAGAACCGATAAGAGTATTGTTAAAGCCCCGGATCGATAAGCATATTGATAAAAGTAGAACAGTTCAAACCTTAACGATACCCATCCCTACTAAGGACCTACTTTTTAAAAAGCTTACAGTGTGCCAGTAGATGAGTCAGGGCGGACCTAACAATGTAATCAAGCATACAGTGCTAACTTTCCACACTTTACAGTTTTTGACACGCTCTGATGAACATGTCTATATCTACACATTCAAAAGGCATTCAAATGCATTCATGCAAAAATGAAAAAGAGTGTAAGCTCAATGTTATCTTTTAAATGCATAATACAGTCTGACCTGCAGGCTCTAAACTGTGTGGAGATAGTTGTTATGTGACGGACCAGAGTGACCGAGTGTCTTGAGGTTCATTTAGCACAAACTTCTTTATTTTAGTCACTGAACTTGAAACAAAAGGAAACGATCCCTTTACACAGAGAAATACATACCTGTGTATCACTGGGTATTCAAACCTGTCGAGTATAGAGAGAGGATTTATTTTTGAGTTCGAGAACAAAGATTATTTGTAGTCCTGCTCACTTTGCTTTTGTATTTATTCAGAATTAGTTTATCTACAAAGCATTCACTTCAACTCTCAGGTCGAATCTTTCACGGTGCAACATGTTCCGTTGCACCGTGAAAGATGCAGTTCTGTGCACAAGCTGCTCTGGTGATAATCAAGTCACTCACAACACTCCATGCACTTCATTCAGGCCTTCTCTCAAAGTGGTCAGGGTGATAGAGACTTTAATACAAGTGCAGGGGAATCAACTATTCTAACAAAGTAATTCAGGAATTCAAGGAAACAAGCAGGGGTAAACATGTGCTAGGGAAGAAAGAAGAAAAACACCGCAGACAGACACAATAGAGGAGTGCAGTGATCACGTGTTTTTGTAGCATTCACATAAATCTGGTATTTCCCCATTGGATTTTGGCTATTGCAGAAAATAAGCTTTTTGGCCAAAACACGTTTCAGATACTTAACAAGTTTCGTTCAGCAGGATAATCTCCACATATTTACACCACTGTGTGATTTTTGAAGAGTGAATCCTATTGGCAGAAACAAAAAGCTAACGTTAGGCTATAAACTAATTACATCAGGGCAGCAGCTGCTCATCACCACCGGTAAACTCAAAGGGGGAAGGTACTCTTCTTTAGTCACTTGTTAGCAACCAACGTTTTTATGACAAATTGAAGCTTCAGACATTCACTGGTGGAATATTTAATGCCGTATTTTATGTTGGAAAAAGGTGCAAATCACTTTGGCTCATGTGAACAACAAACCTTATTTCACCACAAACACGTTCAAAAAAACGTTGACTTGGAGACGAAGGAACTGGAAGTGGTGAAATGCTAAGTGTTTCCTGGGTTTTAGGCAATTACACATTGCAGAGGACATTTAACAGATCAAAAGGTAACTTTTGAATGAGAGCAAAACGTCTGAAAGAGATCTGGTGCTGCTACTGCAGGGTCTCGCTCGCTGTGGTCAGCACGTTGTTGATGATAGTTAGGAAAAACGTGACTTTGTGAAGTTAGTGTTAATCGCATCATTTTGTGGGATCCTGGTCTTTTTGAGTCTCCCTGAAAGGTCCTCACTTTCTCTTGTTCCTACAGTTAAGATCATTTGAATACAAAGATAAGGTGGTACTGATGGTTCAAGGTGCATGTGGCCATTGTCGCCCTCTCCTATAAAGGATGTTAGTTCAGACCGTCTTCACTGCAGCAGCTTACTCCTCACACTCAGAGCCAAGAAGAAGAAGAAGAAGCTTTGGAGCATCCATCAGACATCTCTCTCCGACAGACAGGTAAAAGAAACAAGGGAGAAGCACTAGAAAAAGTTCTTATCCTTTAAGCGAGTGCTGGGTTGTTAGTGTGCTTTAGATACTTACAAGCTGATTCTGAAAGAGAGGATATTCTAGGAAACTGATTAACAATGTGAGTCAGGCAGCAATATGATGTTCTCTCTAAAGTAAGTTATTTAACAACACAATAAATCCCATCTTTAAAAGGTACAGGCTTGCAGCATTCAACACTTCACAACACAGTTACAATTCATTACTGCAAAACCAAAAAGGCTTTTTTCAATATAATTATACATCACATTACGGTCAATGTATGCAATTCATTTCATGTTGTGCCTTACCTGACCCTTAATTCTTCCTTTGAGCCATCAGATATATTACACAGTGATCGTGCTAATTCTAAATAATTCTGCTTGATATTTCTCGTCAGTTAAAAAAAAAGTTTTATGTCAATAGTATGAAAGTAATTTCCGAATAAAGCCATTATTCTGTTTTTGTCTTTTCTGTTGCAGGTATTGTTCAGACTGACAGACAAAAAGGAAGGTGAGAAATGTGTGGCTCTGATCATTATAATTCATTATTGATTCATCTCTAAATAAATAATGTTTAATGTTGTTAGCTGTTTCTGTGGATTTATGATTGTTAATAATTAAGGCTCAGATAGAAGTGAAGTGCATTGTTACAGCAAGCAGCAGACAGGCTCGGTGTTATCACTAACCCAACTGACTGAGCCCAAGATCTTTATCTGTTGCAGGTAAACAATTACAAAACAAAAAGAGGGCTGAACAACATTTAAAAGTTAAAGTCCTAGTTGCATAAAACCACTGTTTTAACAACACTTCAGTTTATTTATCTTAACATCCACGACAGAAGCATTGAGCAGGAGCTATAGAGTTAAGTGTGATTTTTATTCAATGTTGTATATATTTTTTAGTATTAAGGATAATAATTAAGAGACAGATGTGTTTCTTTTTCACTTGTCCTCTCTCATGTTTGAAACTCTGTCAATGACTTGATGTGTGTGCAGATGGCTGGCCTGTGTTGGATATCTGTGCTGCTGGCAGTCAGTCTGTCTATTCGAGACTGTGAGCCGTTGGATATCGGTTACGTTACAGATATTGCTGCACGCATCGAGAATAAGTGAGTGAATTTGATTCTAATAGTACATAAAAGTTCAGCGTTCTTTAATCCTTTCAGAGTATTGATGTACTTTATTGATGTAGGTATTGGATATAGTTGATTAGTCTCCAGAAATATCACAAAAGTCTTTAAGATGAACACTGAACGTTGAGAAAAGTGTCTCCACAACAAACAGGATTCAGTCTGATTATATTCACAGTCACTTCATCCAGAGGACTAATCCAAATCATGATGATTTTGACCTTTAGTCTAGACCAGGGGGGTCTGCAACCTTTTTGACCAAAAGAGCCATTTTTCCTCCTTTTCCACCATTTTTTTTTGTTTGGAGCCGCAAAACATTGATAGCTTATGAAGTTGTACATATTGTTACATCATAGACAAAAACTACAGTTTTTTTGTATTTATTATTTATTACATTATAGAAAACTGTTTACCTCTAATAATAAACAAAGAACTCTTATAAGGAGAATACAAAAAAATACTCAGGCCTACTTTAAAATAAATCAACACAGCACTTGGGAGTCCTCTGCACATTTGAAGAAAATGAATATAATTAAAATGGGCCCACTTTGAAATAAATAAAACATATAGCTGCACCCTAAAAAGAGTTAACTGATTGAATTATGACTGAAGGTCGTCAGCTGTCTTCCTCTTCCGTGTTTTTCCTCCAACACGTAAAGGCTGCAGCACCTTTGATAACTTATCTCCACATATCAAACATACCGGTAAGCCAGCATCGTTTGCTGTGAAAGCATATAACTCTAACCACGCTGAATTAAACCGACTGTGTTCCTCCGATACTTTTATTTTCTTTGATGTATCCATAGTTCGCTCATCGAGCCGGGGGTCAGGTTATTCACCTGCAGGAAAAGGCGCTGGTGCGGGACCGTAGCAGGATGTGACGCATATTTTAGTTGACCTAATTAAAACAGTTTTTTTATTGTCACAGTATCACCTCAAAATACAAGATACGAAATATTTTCAACCGTGCAACAAAATATAAATAGTCCTACAAATATTTTTATTTTATTTCCTACTTATTTTTGTCAAAGCTCAAGGGAGCCAGAGCAGAGGGCTTAAAGAGCCGACCTCCTCACCTTTATGATGACATTTGTGATTTTATAAGTGAAATGTCTCGACAACTTCCTGTTACACTAAGGACTTTTTCAACAGCCTCAGTTTTAGTTCATGTTAGGTGCTCATTAGTCAATCTTATAATGCTATCAGTTTGCAGTGTGTAAGAACAATCTCAAAGAGCCGTGAGCATGGCTGTAGACTCTCTGTGTTGTTTTGGTTCTCTGACATTTCAATAAAGTCTCCACTATCTTTAGTTTTACATCTGTTTGGCTGGTTAAGATCTTAAGTGAAAATCACTAAATCAAATGTGCATCAGTAACGTTGTCTGATCTGAAAGTAATGTCACCTGATTCACACCAGTACTTATTGATTACCTAAATATCAAATGGACTATCAGGAAGATGTTCTTTTACTAAGGTGTTTTGTGTAAGACAGCAGAACAATGTGACCTTAGAAAAGAAGGAACCAAGATATTAGGGATCAAAAATGTGTCCTCTACTTTTTCATGTCTCTTCTACATCAACATGTGTCCCCTCTTCTTCATGTCTCTTCTACATCAACATGTGTCCCCTCTTCTTCATGTCTCTTCTACATCAACATGTGTCCCCTCTTCTTCATGTCTCTTCTACATCAACATGTGTCCCCTCTTCTTCATGTCTCTTCTACATCAACATGTGTCCCCTCTTCTTCATGTCTCTTCTACATCAACATGTGTCCCCTCTTCTTCATGTCTCTTCTACATCAACATGTGTCCCCCTCTTCTTCATGTCTTTTCTACATCAACATGTGTCCCCTCTTCTTCATGTCTCTTCTACATCAACATGTGTCCCCTCTTCTTCATGTCTCTTCTACATCAACATGTGTCCCCTCTTCTTCATGTCTTTTCTACATCAACATGTGTCCCCTCTTCTTCATGTCTCTTCTACATCAACATGTGTCCCCTCTTCTTCATGTCTTTTCTACATCAACATGTGTCCCCTCTTCTTCATGTCTCTTCTACATCAACATGTGTCCCCTCTTCTTCATGTCTCTTCTACATCAACATGTGTCCCCTCTTCTTCATGTCTCTTCTACATCACATCAACATGTGTCCCCTCTTCTTCATGTCTCTTCTACATCACCATGTGTCCCCTCTTCTTCATGTCTCTTCTACATCAACATGTGTCCCCTCTTCTTCATGTCTCTTCTACATCAACATGTGTCCCCTCTTCTTCATGTCTCTTCTACATCAACATGTGTCCCCTCTTCTTCATGTCTCTTCTACATCAACATGTGTCCCCTCTTCTTCATGTCTCTTCTACATCAACATGTGTCCCCTCTTCTTCATGTCTCTTCTACATCAACATGTGTCCCCTCTTCTTCATGTCTCTTCTACATCACATGTGTCCCCTCTTCTTCATGTCTCTTCTACATCAACATGTGTCCCCTCTTCTTCATGTCTCTTCTACATCAACATGTGTCCCCTCTTCTTCATGTCTCTTCTACATCAACATGTGTCCCCTCTTCTTCATGTCTCTTCTACATCAACATGTGTCCCCTCTTCTTCATGTCTCTTCTACATCAACATGTGTCCCCTCTTCTTCATGTCTCTTCTACATCACCATGTGTCCCCTCTTCTTCATGTCTCTTCTACATCAACATGTGTCCCCTCTTCTTCATGTCTCTTCTACATCAACATGTGTCCCCTCTTCTTCATGTCTCTTCTACATCAACATGTGTCCCCTCTTCTTCATGTCTCTTCTACATCAACATGTGTCCCCTCTTCTTCATGTCTCTTCTACATCAACATGTGTCCCCTCTGTGGAAAGAGACTCTGAAAGTTTCAATGATCTGTTTGGTATTTGGAGCCAAACACTTCAGAGACATGTTTTGTGTATATCTGAGACCTGTAATATATTGATGAAAAACAGTATAATATGGGACCTTTAAGCATACAGTATTCGAGCAGTAGCCTATACACCAACAAAGAAACTCATGAGCACATACATTTAAAAATGTATGTTGCAGCATGTATACTTACCATTGTGTATGAATACTTGTACTCTGACAAAAGGTAATAATGTGTGTCTGTTTTCTTTGACAGCTACCTAATCAAAGACTGGCAGTTCAGCGTGGCAGTAAACATCCCGGAGGACCCGGACCATTTGGCTAGGGCTTTTTATAATATCAATTTGGACGATGTGAAAAAAACTTGTATTGAAGAACACAAGGTGTACATAGGCAGAAATGCTGTTGTGGCAGTTCCTCAGAATAAGCAATCCAAAAACGGAAAAACCTACACTGACCATGCAGAGGCACAGGTACTGGACAATTTAGGAATCTTAGCTAACACACGTCAGGGTAACATTCTGGTCCTCTACTCCTGGTTTTCTCCATGTGGTGACAAGTGTACAAACAGAAAAAACAGGAACAATATCTTACAAAAGATTGAAGATAAAGTACGCAACAAGTGGACAAGCTATGCCTTTGTGTTTCATACAGTATTTACTGGGCCCCGGGGCGGCAACCAAGCTACTGAAGATGACATTAAATTGACCCTTCGTAATCTTAGAGAAGTAATAAAGGACGACAACATTTTCCGTTGTTACAACCCAAATAATACAGTCCTTTTCCAATGTTTCAAGTGCTTCGTAGATGCTTCACCAGAAGCTGATCCTGTGAATGAGTGTGTTAAAAATTAGGAATAAATGTGTGTAGGCCAAAAGAAGAGCTGACCTAGGCATTGACACAACTGCATCCTACTAAAATGTTACTTTGAGAAGTTCATTAATGCTCAACAATGCACTTGCTGCTTTAAATGGCTAGATGTTACACCGGCACGCTAAAGACCCAAACACACTTATCTTTGGTCACAAACTAACCAGCAGAGCTTTCATCCATTTCTTGCAACATAACTCTGAGGTTTATTTAATGTTTAGCATAAGATTGACTTATTTTGCTGTTGTTCTATGTTCATGTTGTGATTTATCTTCTGTACTTACTGCAGTTTGACTCAGTGTTGGTTTGAGAGGCTTTTGTTGTTCTATCCAAATAACAAAACAAAAAAAAGCCAACATAATTACAGTGCACTGAGATTTAGAGTTTTAACAGACACACAATAAATGAATGACTGTATCAAATGTAAATGTTGTGCTTATGTAGCGGCCTAACAATTTAACAAATGATGGAGGGATGTTTGATATTTGGTGCATGTTGAAAAAGTGTTCAAAACATATTCTACCCTATTTCAAAAAGCCAAAGAAATGTTTTTAAAGTATATTGTTTATTGTATATCAACCTCAGTTATAGGGTTGAAGTGATTGTACTCAATACTTATGTTAAACTTTACCAAATGATTTCTGCTTTTTCTGATTAAAGCTTTGCTAAGCATTCTCACTCTGTGTGTCAATCATCTGGAAACTCATAACAAAAGGATGAGGAACTACTAGCCAATAGATACGTCTTTATGGTTCAAGACAGAAATTAGCAACCAGTGTTTCAACAGCACTTAAATAAATATATTTTCATGTGATTATTTCAAAGCTTACATCCCAGAATTAAACATTTTCATAACATGTGCAAAATTGTAAAGGTTTGTTATAAAATGAAAGGTTGTGCATATATTTCTTTAAAGTGTAAAGAATACAAATTACGAAAAATATATATTCGTTTCTAATTTGAAATAATTTGTTTTGTGTGCAGATGGCTGGCCATTATGGTCAATGTATGTAAATAATATGTAAAGTACTTTTACTTTTGGTACTTTAAGTATACGTTGATGTTAATAATATTATAATTTTAGTTGAGTAACATTTTGAATAGAGGGATTTGAATTGTAACAGAGTATTCCTGAACTGTGGTATTTCTACTTTTACTTAAAGTGGACCTATCATGCTATATTTGAATAATATAGTGTAGGACCATACCTATATAAGGCA